TTATTTAGAGTTTTTCCTCAATATTTGGAAGTGAGATTAGGATCCAGTTTTTTTCCTTGTGTGTAATCTTAATCATTTTAATATCAATTTAAGTTCACTTCATAAAACTAATTAAGGCTTCCTTTATGTTCTATGTCTGCATATTTTAAGTGACATTGAAATTATCTGCTCCTTAAAGTTTTGTTATAGTCCCTCTGTGAAATCATCAGGCCTGGCATTCTTTTTGTTGGGGGGAAGGATGGTTCTTGATGCTTGAAGCGTTCTTGATGTTACATTTCTCTTGTACTTCTCTCTCAGTCCTACTGGGCCTGGATGAATGAGGACTGGATGTAGTGGGAAGAAGGAAGTAAGTGTCCAGAGGCAGATGATTCCTTTCCCAAGCTAAGTAGGGCCAGGGCTAGAATGATAGTATAAAGGATTGATAGTGACAATGATTCTTTGCCTGAATCATTTAGTCAGGCTCCTGAAACTTCTCCTAGGCTCGTCCATGCACTTCCTTATAAAATCCAGTTTTAGCCAAGAACTCTGCTAAATCAGTTTAGCAAGAACCCCCTGCTCTCTATATCTGCTCTCCCTCAATATCTTATCAGGTTCCCTGTCCTCTCCCATTTCTCAGGTGATGCCTGATCTACCCTGGCTTGTCTTTAGCAAGAATCCTGTTAGGTCAGTTTAGCCAAAATTCCCCTTACCCATGATGCTTCCCCTTAGGACTTTTTCATCCACTGACCCCACCCAGTTCCTTGGCTATAAGTGCCCACTTGCCCATGCTGTATTCAGAGTTGAACCCAATCCTCCCCCCCCCCCCCCCCCCCCCCCCCCCGCAAAATCCTGCTGCCTTGGTCCTATTGGTCTAAAGACTGCCTTGCCATATTTTAACAAGTGTGATTGAATACGTTTTCTAATTACACAATAGTATAATTCTGTCTAGAATGGAATAGGAAAAGGAGGGAAGCTATGCCAGAGGGCGAGAGAGCTGTGAGGAGAAGTGGGGACAGGCCGAAGATGAGAGGATCAGCTGCTTCTTCTCAAAGATTTTTCTTCCGACTCTGCATTCCATCCTGTGGGGGCTGGGGGGTGGCGTGTCTCTATCTTAGTTTCACAGCTGGGAAGGCAAAGGAAATCTCCCAGAGTCCAGAGAGCTTCTTGGCAGCCTTTGGGAGTGGAGGGGATCCTTAGAGTCACCTCACCCCAGGGAGTTTGGACAAATAAAAGTCAGCGATCCCACACCCTAATTCTCCTAATTTGTATTCATCATGAGCCAGAGTCAGCCCACAAACCCTCTGGCTCACAGAACTATTAATAAGCTTCAGATCATAGACATTCTTTTCATGTCATGTCTTTGATTTTCTGAGGCAGCTCTCTACAAGCGGCTTTGAAACCACCCCATTGCTTGGATAACTCCACTGTGAGGTGACTTTCCTATGCTGTGAGGCAGATGGGGGTGAGGGGGCACGGGACAGGCTCTTTCTGGTGCCCAGAGCGGACGTCTCCTTTTTCTTCCCCAGCTTCAGGTCTGCCACGTGCCTTCAGTCCCCTGCAGGTGGCAGGAGGCAGGACCTTCTTTCCCCCCTCTGCTGTAATACAAGCTGCCACCAGGAGGCGCTGGACCACCGAGCAGAGAACTGGAACGCTCAGATGAAGAGGTCACCACCCTTGCCGCTGCTGGATGGTGCATTGATAAGAGGCAGAGACAGAAGGAAGAAGATAGAGGAGAGAGCCTTAGCAACCCTCTGGCTCAGAGGGAATGAGGCAGGGGCCTCTCTGCAGAAGCCAAAAATGCAGAGGTAAAAGTCAGGAAAAAGAAAATACGTAGCTTCTTGTTCTTATATAAGCTGCTTTACTTCTCGTTTTTTGTGTTACCCTACTTCTTGTTTTTATATAAGTTACTCCTCATTTCCTTGTACCACCTAAGTTACTTCCTGGTTCTTTGTGCCATTCTTTTCGAGGACTTTTCACTTGAGTGGGCTACATATTCAAACTTTTTGGCAGAATCCAATCAGGATAGTGATCTTGTAAGCCAATCAACAAATAGGACATACAAATGAGATAATTAAGTAAAACCAATCAGGGTGGAACATGTAATGCTAACTGCAGCCTTGAGCTACAAAATATCCAATCAAATGAATAATGCCAAACTGTAACCTTACAAGGGAGACAAAGATGTTACAATGTAAAGAAATGATACATAAGACAATGCCTGGCTTCCTTCGGGGCTCAACCTTTGGATGCAAGTCCCCTGAGCAGTGCCCGCAGGAATAAACACTGTTTCCTGGCAAAGTAGCCTCGTTGTCCCATCTCTCTCTATAAAGTTTCTCGCTACAGGAAGACTTTGGAAGGGCTGAAGCCCAAGACACTGCTGGGAAATTGGCCTGTGCTCCTCGAGAACACTAGGTTATGTTTCTTGGGTACAAGTCACCGGCCTTGTGGAAAGTGCCACCACTCTCAGCCTCCTTTCGCTCCCGGCTGTGATCCCTGCAGATCACTGGTTTTCAGGATGGTGCTGGTGGGCAAATCTGGCTGTATGGGCTCCTGTGTGGCTCACTTGGGCCCCTCGGAGGGTGAGGGAAAGGCTGAGCTGTGGCAGGATGGAAATGCTTTACATTGGAGGCCAGTACGTTTTCCCCTTTTGCAGGTAAATGTGAAGTCCCTTCCCCAGCAACCACCCACACCTACTGCATGAAGGCTGACCAGACCTGTCCAGCTCAAAACTCCAAAGTCAGAAGAGAAAAAAGTAAGCTGGTTCATTTTAGCACTTTTTAAATAGAAATGTGAGTCAGTGCCTGACTGACCTCAGAGCCTCACATTCTGCCACAGGGGTTGCTGCCTAGCCCCCAAAACTCAGGGTAGCTCTGGGAGTTCTCAGACCAAGCTGTGCTACTGGGACCCATGAGTGGGTAGCAGGAGCTTTACCTGTGGAGTCCCTGCAAGGGGCTCACACGGGGATATAGAGAAGGTTCCCTGGGGAGACCTTTCTGTCCTTTGCTTTCCTACAAAGGCAGTCTCAGGGTCTGGATGGCATGTAGCCGTTTTCCTGCAGACATGTTACATTTCTATATTCTTATTAAGACACTTAGGAATTTAGGACAGAATGAAGAGGTTGGGTAGAACACTAGCCTTGGAATCTGGAGACTAAGATTTATTTTCCTCTTGGCAAAATAAATTATGTAGATAGAGAGGGATATCTTCTCCAATTTCCTTTTACTTCCTTAATTACTATTGTTACTAATGCTATAATTGATATATTGAACCCCTGTGTTCCAGGCACTGTGCTAAGTACCTTACTGAACACTCGTTCATTGGATACCCACAACCCTGTGAAGGAGGTACAGTTATTCCTATAAGCAGATGAAGAAACTGAGGTTTAAGGAGGCTGAGTACATTTCCCAAGGCCCCCACCAAACCAGAATAACTTTGGACCCCAGCGTTATTCCACAGTCTGTTAATTATCATGCTCCAGGGTCTGAAGAAGACCATCGATCAAAATGAACTTTACCATGCTCCTCTTTGGACTAGTTCTTTAGAAACAAAGAGAAAAATTGTTTAACTTTTTTTAAAAAAACAAACCCTACTTTTTTTGGATTTCTCATTATATAAGATAGGCCTCATCTCCCCTTATAGAAGCACAGACTGTAAATTTTGTAGAGCCCAAACTCTTGTGTCCGTCTCTTTCAATGGTCTATTCCTACCTGCTGTTCTTGGCTATTCCATCCCTGGCTCCTCTGCCTTAGCAAAAGTTTTGGAGACAGCCCTCCTGTTCTTCCTCGGCACCCTCCCTTGGATGCATGTTAGGTAGTATTGCTCCTCCAGTCAAAGGCCTTGTGGCAGTTGAAAGGTGGTGGAGGCATCTCTTCATGTGAGCCCTGGAGATGGGGTTTAAGGGGTGCATGGGCCATAGTGTAGACTTGGGAATGCGCAGAACCCAGGAAGGCTGGAAACTGGTCAGAGGCAGAACACTCCGCGAGGAAGAAGGAGGGCAGGAGCCTGGCTAGAAGAGGGTGCTTAGCTGGAATGGAGGGAGCAGGGCACCAGGCTCTGGGTGTTTCCCCTGGTGGAGATGCAGATTTTCAGGATATACACAGGGAGTGCCCAAGGTAGCTGTGATGAGAGCCTGGGAGGCAGGTGAGTGTGGACCCTCCACCTTCTCTCCCGAGAGGCTTCACCAGAAAGCAAGCTTTGTAAGCTCTTGGAAGCAGGAGCTGATTATCCACCACCATATCTTCAGAGCCTGCTGTCACCTCTGGTGCTCTGTAGGCACGCAGGGACTTTCAAATGAATAAAGGGAGGGAAGGAGGGAGGGAGAATGGGTAAACAGTAGGGCCTGGGATGAGCTGAGAGCTCCAGAGGAGTGCACTTCTCTGCATTTCTGACTCTCCTGGGGTCCCTGTGCACAAGAAAGCTCGCTCTTCTGGTCTTCTCTGATTCCACTGGATCAGAGAAACAAAACCAGAATTCAACAAAATCTTAGACCAGATTAACCAGACAAAAAGGTTTGAGGAGAGTACCTGACTCAATGGAAAGATGCTCCATTTGTCCAAGACTTTTATCCTTCCCATATCTCATCCCCAGAGTAGACGCTACTCGTTTACGCTTGTTGGAGTTCACATATAATTCCTGGCCTGTAAGTTCTGGCACTGGCAAGTTTCTCTTATGGTTGCCCACTGTCCAGCAGGATGAAGACAGAGGAGCCCAGTGAATGGTTTCTCCTCAGTAACAAGCTCCCCAGTGTCCTGAATGATACAGAGATGCCCCTGAGCTCTTTGGTAAAGACTGATTTTTAAAATGTGTTAGAACAGAACTTGAAAACAATAGATTGACTTATTGTAATTCAAAGACTAGTGTATCTCTAACCACATTTTTTGTTTATTTTAAAATGTGTTTCCTTCGTGGCCTTTCTTGTGGCTCACCCTATGCAGTTTGCGTACTTGTTGAGTACGTTATCTGTTTTTGACTAGGCTTTTGCTGAACTCAGATTTTCCGAGACCCTCTTTCCTCATAGGCTCGATTTTACCGTTCCACCTGCAGTTGGCTAGTTTCGGTGGCAGAAAGGCCACATCTGCTTCCTGTAAGCCCCTGGGCAGAAGCATGCAGTGGTGTCTCCTTCTGTTCTGGGCCCAGGGACTGAGGCAGGGCCCCCTCGCCTTAGGTAAGGCCTGAAACCTGGCAGAGCAGGGAGGGGGAAAAACCAAGGAGACCAGAGCGCTCATGTAGGGAAGGCTTTGAGTGCATGCCTCATCTGCTTGAGGTAAGGAAATGCTGTTTTCAGCTTCATGTGAGAAAAGGCAATCATTGAGAATGAGGTGCAGGTCTGTTTTGTATGGCAGATGAAGGACTTTGTAGACCCTCAGGGTGCCTGACTGGCCAGCACAGGGAAGGACGCAGGGGCAGAAGAAGGGTCTAGGAAGGAGGGGTTGGGTTAACAGTTTGCTATTAGAAGTTCACTCCTGCGCCAGCCTCGGTGGCTCAGCCTGTAATTCCGTGCTTTGGGAGGCCGAGGTGAGTGAATTGCCTGAGCCCGCGGGTTCGAGAGCCACCTGGGCAACTTGGCAAGACCTCATCTCTACAATACATCAAAAAAATTAGCCAGGTGTGGTAGCGCACGCCTATAGTGCCAGCTACTTGGAAGGCTGAGGCAGAAGGATCACCGGAGCCCAGCAGGTCGAGGCTGCGGTGGCCGGGAGTGGCCACTGCACTCCAGTCTGGGTGACAGAGTGAGACTCCAACTCAAAAAAAAATAAAAATAAAAAAATTCACTCCTGCTCCACCTTCCTTTCTTTTGTCCTTGAGTAACCTTCCAGGAAAACATTGTAAGTAGTTCTCTGTGGATCAGAACTGTCTTCTCTATAGATTTCAGGGACTATAACCTGACAGATTGAATTTTTGTTAAATTGATTTTTCTACATTAAAAGACTTAGTCAATTTTTTCCAAGCTGGGTGGGGGGGAATACACATATTTTAAAAACTGTGGTATATATTTGTTTTTGTGTAGCTTTCTGAACCATGGGAGAAGGGTAGAGAGGAGCCCAAGGGTACTGGGGAGAGGTAAGTACTGAGTGAAAGAAGTTCGGCACCAGTAACGACTCCACACTCGGTCAGAACCAAGAGATTTATTAAAGGGGCAGTTACATGAAGAGACTGTAACTGAGGAAGAGCAAGAGAGAGAGAGAGAAAGAGAGACCGAGAGAGAGAGAGAAAGAGAGACCGAGAGAGCAAGAGAAAGAAAGAGAGAGTAAGAGAGTGGTGGGGAGAGAGAGAGAACAAGAGAGACTGAGAGAGAGAGAGAGAGAGAGAGAGAGAGAAGGAGAGAGAGAGTGAGAGAGCCAGCAAGAGAGTGGTGGGGACAGAGAGAGAAAGCAAGAGAGAAGGAGAGAGGGGGGAGAGAGGGTGAGAGAGAGTGAAAGAGAGAGAGTAAGAGAGAAGGAGAGAGAGAGAGAGAGAGTGGCAGGGACAGAGAGAGAAAGCAAGAGAGAGAGAGAGAGTTATGCAGGGGGAGGGATATATTTTATGGACCTTGCAGGGGCTGGCCAGTGCTGTGCCTGGGTCCCATTGGAGGAGATTATGAGGTAGCATTTCTACAGGGAGAGGTTGAGCACAGGTTTAAGTTTCGCGCGGGTGGGAAAAGCCGCTTAGGGTCTTTGTTGTCTTTGGGAGGCAGCGCCATCTTGGGGACGCCCTTCTGACTGTTCTCTGTGCCTTTCAGGCATACTCTTTTTCACTTGCCTTGCAAGACTATGTTCATAAAGTGACCATTATTTAGCCTATTTAGAAACTTCAAGAAGTTTTAGAAATGTAATTGAATGGTTTTTGAAAGCTCTATGAAAATGCAATTCACAATAGGTGTATTTATTTTTCTCCACAACTAAAGAATATCATTAAATAACTGTGGTTTTGTTCTTTTTACATTTTATTTATTTATTTATTTATTTTTG